GTTTTTGGTTCCTTGGGCGTGAACACCTCCATTGGGAGATACTGCTTCTCCGTATCAGGTATATCCCTCTCCTACTGTTTTGTTCAGATCTGGTTCGATTCATGGTTCAAGAATGATCCTTGAAATATATGATTTTTCTAAAATAGGGAGTGCGATTCCAGTGGGAATGGGAGAAATTTTTGAAATTCGCCCATTCTATTCCGCAAGATTCGGGCGTCCATACGATGGATCTCTCATCCCTTCATTATCATAGTTCATTGCTTCTGTATTTTTTATAGACATGAACTTAGGGAGGTGCTACTGCTAGGCTCACCAGATTCTTTTGAGTACTAGAGGGGGACCTAAATAACTTCTTCATCTTATCCTTTTACATTACCAAATACGGTCAGTCAACTTTCACGACATTCACTCTCTTCGGCCTTCAATTCGACTTCGACTTTGGCTCAAGGGTTATAGCCTTGGGAAAACTGGCAGGTGTCTAGGCTGTCCGACTGGGGTTCTAGCCCAGTCATATCTTCGAAGAAGCTATAGTCTTTGGGTTCTAGCCAATGGTTCTAGGTTGCCTACTAGCAACTAGAGGTTTCGGCAAGGTATTAGCAGGTGATGGTGAAGTGGGGGGAAGCAAGTAAGGGATCGAACTAGAAAGAATGGAGAAGAACAGTTCTGGATTTGAACAAAGGGGTTAGGATCATGGCTCTGATACCAAATGGATGAGAGAGGTAATGAACAGTGTGGTGCGAGGGTGATGAATGGTGATTTGTTCTGTTAATCACTGTTTTTAAATCTGATATTAGAGGACTGATTTACATCTAATTTAAAAAAACAAAAAACTAGTGTATTGAATCAATGGTTAATCGATCGGCTTCAGTTTGGTTTCAGTTGTTGGTTTTCCAATAATTGGTAATCCCTGTTCTGTTTCAAAAGTAGGCCTACAGTTCGATTAACCGAACCATGAGAACCCCTAACATTTGGTAGCAATATATAGGGTTTTGTTAAGAGAGCAAAAAGAAGAAGAGAAGAGAGGGGAGAAGAGAAAATAATGATTGGAGGGGAGAGTGTTTTTTATTCACTCTCAAATTTGAAGTTTATATTTTGAGAGAGAAATTACATAAAATCTCTCATATGGGAACCCAAATACAAAAGGAAGGAAGTTACCAAAAAGGACCTTACCTCATACAATCTTAACAATCCTCCTCAAGTTGAGCATATATGTTAATCATGCCGAACTTGTCTAGGTTCTTAGCAAACTTTGGATGATGAAGGCCTTTAGTGAGACAGTTAGCAAGTTGGTCTTCTGACCTTACAAAAGGTAGGCAAATCTCACCACTAGCTATCCTCTCTCTAGTAAAATGTCTATCCACTTCTATATGTTTTGTATGATCATGTTGAATAGGATTGTGGACAATGCTTATGGAATGGTTCAAACTTTCGCAATGTATCAGCCATATTGGCCGGTACATATCATTTATTTAAGGGCTTGGCACAGGAAACCAGTGATTTAAAAGGCGTGCTTAGGCGCACAGGTGAGGTGCATTTTAGGGTAGGCGCCTCACCCAGGTCCTAGGTGCAGCCTGTTCAGAAGGTGCACACTTGGTGTGCCTA